ACAATTAGACAAAAACATTTTTTTTTAAAACACAAAAAATTAGAAATTTACCTTTTTTATGTTTTCGAAGTTAAGAAAAAATCTAACTAAAATGTTTAAAGAAACAAAAATTACATTCTATATACTTATTTGTGTAGTGCTTTGCTTACGTGTTGCGCTCACAGCGAGTTTCACCTTTTTTCGCTTACGTGTCAGCTCTATAATGAGTTTCAACCGCAAAAAAACCGTTTAGCCATATTTTCCAATTACGTGTCTTTTTTTAATTGGTTCTCATTTGATGACGTGTAAAAAAAAATTAAAACAAACCGGTCTAAATTATTATGGTTAAATATTTAATTTTATACTCAATCAAACTGTTTTTAAAATAAGATTAAACCGAAATTTAGGCAAAAAAAAATTAAAAACGTTTTTATTTAAAAAAAATAAAAAAACGAAATTTACTATTTCTAATGTCTTTTAAAACGTTTTTCTAAAAAAAAAAAAGAAATTTACCATTTCTAATTTTTTCGAAATATTAAAAAAATCTAACTAAAATGTTAACTAAAATTAGTATAAATATAAGCCATTTTTCACTACTTCTCTCACAACATTCACAATTGTTAAACCTCTTCTTTCTTTTTCATTCAACCCGTTTTTAAATTTATATATAACCAAAATTTAGAAAACAATTAGACAAAAACGTTTTTTTTTTAAAACACAAAAAACTAGAAATTTACCATTTTTTATGTTTTCGAAGTTAAGAAAAAATCTAACTAAAATGTTTAAAGAAACAAAAATTAGATTCTATATACTTATTTGTGTAGTGCTTTACTTACGTGTTGCGCTCACAGCGAGTTTCACCGTTTTTCGCTTACGTGTCAGCTCCAGAATGAGTTTCAACTGCAAAAAGATCGTTTAGCCATATTTTCCAATTACGTGTCATTTTTTAATTGGTTCTCATTTGATGATGTGTCAAAAAACACTTAAAACAAACCGGTCTAAATTATTATGGTTAAATACTTAATTTCATACTCAATCAACCTGTTTTTAAAATAAGATTAAACCAAAATTTAGGCAAAAAAAAATTAAAAACGTTTTTATTTAAAAAAACGAAATTTACCATTTCGAATGTCTTTAAAAACGTTTTTCTAAAAAAAAAAGAAATTTACTATTTCTAATATTTTCGAAATAATCAAAAAATCTAACTAAAATGTTAACTAAAATTAGTATAATTAAATATAAGCCACTTTTCACTACTTCTCTCAGATC